ACCCAAAAAGGTGATACACTGCAGCTCTTACAGGATGCAACAGCTGTGGTTTGTCCTCTGATTTGCATGTCCGAAAGAGGAACCTTTACAAAGAATTAGTTGTAAACTACAGATGGAAAGAGCACTTATACTGTTGTTATACTCTCTAAAGAGGAACGTAGTTCTGCCATCATCAGTTTGATACAGACAATTTTTGGGAGGTTGCTGTGGCAATTGAGTCCCTCAAACACAGAGTACAGCATCATTTCAACACAGACCTAAAAGACAATCAGAGTAGGTGGTAGAGTTTTGAGGCAAAGTCCGTGTTGCAGGCAGTTTGTCCCTGTGGCTAACTGGGGTACTGCAAAAAAAGTACCACTGGCACTTTCGGCCACGGAGAGTAAAACCATGCCACATTGATTTGCTTTTCCACTACAAGTTAAAATGCACTGAACTGTGCCAAGTCGCACCCGAGATGGACAATCTCGGAAGCCAGGCCAAAGCATGCCTGACTGCCTCCAGGCTGGTTGTGGTGATGTCAGATGAGCTTTGCTTTAATTATTAATAATGCAAATAAAGAAGCCGTCAGATGAGAGATGTATATTTCATATGCATGGAAATCAAAAACTACCAGTAACTTAAAAGGTGAAATATTTTCGTGCATGTTAGTTGACAGTGTGAATCAGTCAACACCCCTTGTTGTCAATATGACAACCTTGGCCATTTCTTTTGCTTTAATTGGCTTTCTTGACTTCAGTGACAAATGGATCTTCAAGTACTTAAAAAATGTATATGAATTTAAAACAGATTATACAAATATTTTATTTCCTCACTCTGAGAAAAAAAAAGGGGCAGAGCCATGTTCTGGTGCACTCCAGCAGCACTACACCAACAGTATGCTTGAGCCATTGCAAGCAAGCTGGAGGAGATGTGTATCCAGCGTACATCCGTGCAGTACTCCAGAACCTGAAAAAACAATTTTTATACATATGTCATCATAATCATGGCTACAAACTAATGTGGTGAATGGTTTGGTTTATCATCAAGTACTTTAGTTGTTTTACTAAAATAGAAAATAAAGGAAGCCTGCAAATAATAGCATTTGAGAAGCTAAAGCCAGTGAATTTGGGGCTATTTCTTTCTCATACATGACTTTTACAAATCTGTAGATTATCCAGTTCTTTCATGGTCAGGAGAAAGGCACTAATGTGCTGCAGAAACAACCCAGGAAGACAAATTACCTTCTTGGTGTACATATAGTTCTCATAATACATCTGTGGACTTGATTCCTAGGGCTCTAGTTTCCCGGCGCAGCGCAGGGTGGCGAACCCCGCGCAGAGCTAGTTTCGAGCAGCGCAACCCAAGGCGCACTCAGTTTGGTAGTTTGGCAGAGGTACGCTAAGATGGGTGTGGCGGCACCGCAGGGGGAGGTGTCGACAGATCCAGTTTGGTGCAGTGACAGTTTCGTGCCAAAAGGCTTCGCCAAAGGTGCGCTAAGAGCTTGCCAGCTGAAACCAGGTCTACTGTCAGTTCATGCGGAGTGCATCCGGTGTAAGCCGAAGTTTGGCTGACCAGCGGACAGTGCGCACACGTCACCAAAACCTCACAGGCAGGTTTCCAGAATGTCAGGCACAGTAACAATGAAATAAATAGCCACAAAAAACACTATTCAATGCAACTATCTGCAATCAGCACATAAATGTATCTCTATATTGACTGTCCCGTCACATCTGATGTCAGACCAAAGGGGATTGGCACCGTTTGGCACGCGTAATGGAAACCCAACTTGATTAACACAGCTGCAAACTAATGAGTTCACATCCCTCTCAGCCAACCACAAATAGCCACAGCATCAGATAGGGAGTATATATTCAGCACACCATTGATTTACGATTGTGGTGACCTCCTCCCAGGCTACTTTTGCATCATCAGCCCGTGGAGGTCTGCTTGCAGTTCGGTATATTCGGACACTGCGAGCTTGGACCTCCCGGACCAAAACATTAGTTTCCTCCTGGGAGGAGTTTGGCCGTCTGACGCTGCTGCTGTCTTTTGCCATGGCGAATTGAGTAAACTCTCATTACGCCTTCGCACGGCGCATTTAAGGGCAAGGAGAGGGGCTCATTTGATTGGTGTTTCACCTGGTCTGCAAAACTAGAGGCCCTACAGTTCGATATACAACCATAACATGTGATACATTATGCACTGCACAATGTAGTGGAAATGTGGGAACTTTAACTTTCAACAACACTGTGGGTAATGTGTGTTTAGGTTTCGGCACAAAAAAACACTCAGTTGTGATAAGGAAAAGATTATGTTTTGGCTTAAAATTCCTGTTTTTGATGGTACAATCCCTGCTTGAAACGCAGCGAAAATACAACCACTTTTCGTGGCACTGTCCTTAGTGGAAACACAGCGTCGGGTTGCTAAAAAACATCCACATTTGGTGACTAAAAAGCTGCTGGAAGATGCAGTGATGACTGGCTACAAAACAAAAAAGTGGTGTGCAGCTTGGCAGCTGTCTCGCCTAAGTGTCACGCCATCCACCTGTCCCACCTACTTGTTACAAAGTCAGCTCATATACATAAAATAAGAAGTACATTACTTTAGAAACGTTGAAATGGTACATTTTAACCATACAAATGTAACTTATCCATGGTTTGCAGAAACATACAATGCCAACATTTTCTTCTGGCGACTGAGCAGTAGACTTGACTTATCTAATACAGGAAACTTTTATAATGTATAGAGTTATTTCTATAAAATCATGCACTGGTTTTATTTTTCTTTGATTTGACGATTTGAAGAATTTGTGTAATCTTCTATTTGCCTGTCAAAGGTTGTCGTGATGGTTTGTGATTTAAGATTAGACAGAAGAAGTGTTGGGGTGTTGTTGGCCTACTGGGTAGAGCAGGCGCCATGTACAAGGCTGTTGCCGCAGCGGCCCGGGTTCGAATCCAGCCTGTGGCCCTTTGCTGCATGTCATCCCCTCTCTCTCTCCCCCCTTCACACTTGGCTGTCCTATCCATTAAAGGTAAAATGCCCAAAAAAAAAATCTTAAAAAAAAGAAAAAAAAAATACAGATGAAGTGTTGAATGAGTAACTGTGTGTTTGTGTGTTAACTGCTGAGTTATCACGTTCATTTCGTGCTACTCTTTTATGGGTCAAACCCCCCCACACATACACACACACACTTTCCCCTCCTGTCACTATGCTTTGTAAGACCAACTCCCTTTCCTTCTGTTCTTCACACACACACACACACACACACACACACACACACACACACACACCAAGCCTCCCAATTATGCTCCATTATGTCACCCCCTCTGACTGCTCTTGAAAAAATATCTCTTTCCCTCTCCGTCACCCTCTGCTCATCTCTGTCTCTGCATTCCTTTTTCCATGCTGCCTCCCTCCATTCATCGCTCCCTCTTTCTTCCCCCCATTTCTCCCTCTGTCGCTCATCTCTTGTTCCTGTGAGACAATGTCTTGTAACAATACCGAGCTTAATCTTCGTATCAAAGCCGTTTTTCCCCTTCACCGAACACACACACAAACACACATGCACTTTCACTGGGCTGTTTTTTTTCCCCTCCATGTCTTTTTTTTGTTATGAGAAAAGGATGAAAATGCAAAAGGGCACAGATATCACACACTGTGCTAATATTCTAGATGTTACATTATAAAATCCTACAAATAATGTGCTTAGAACCTGCAGTGATCACATGCTTATACAAATATATTTAATTTTTTTAAGTTTGGCGTACATAATTATTTTCTGAACTGATTTTCATCTATTCTCTACGTTTGAGAAAGACCCAATGACCCAATCAAATACAAAATATCTGGCAATTTAAAAGTGGGAATAAATTACAAAAATCAACCACAACACTTTATTAATGTAGTATTTAAAATTCTAATTTGTCAACAGCTCTTTTCCAGAGCAAATTACTTTTCTTTTGGGTAAAGTGCTGTTATTTTTGTAGGCTACTTGTGGTGTGTCCAACATTTTTACATCACTTGTTCCTGGAAAATGTTTAAACAAGTACGGTCGGGATCAAATTATTCTGAATATTTAAACAGTACTTTTGGAACAAACAAGCTCTGTAAGTGGAAAAAAACTGTAAATGTCCAATTTTGGCAGACATTTTTTGCAGTGTACTGTGAAGGCCTGCAGGGCAGGAGCAGTGTTTGATGAGAGCTGTTTACTGTTGGTTTGACTCAGCCTAAGAGCCCATGATGGCATAACAATAAGACAATATTTGAGTCACTCTTGTTTGATTAGAAAGGTTTCTAGAGGCTGATTTCCTTTCTTTCATTTCTTTCCAATGAGGACCCTCAAGATGCAGTCAGAGTTTTAGTGGCTAATGAGGTGGATACATTGAAGTATTTTAGAGTTTTTAAATGTGTGGGTGTTAAAGTTAATTGGAGGAATGGTTTTTGTTGCTCGGTATTTACACACATGCATTATGTATAAACAGGGACACGCACACAAGTAAATAACTATTTACTCCTGATTGAATTGCCCACTCACTCTTCTTCTTTCTTCTTCTTATTTACGCATTCACAGCTCAGTCGATTCAAGGTTTCTAACAAAAACATTGTGATCTTGTAACAAGAGCTTTCAGTGCATGAAATATATACTATGTAAATATGAGATGTTGTGCCATAATCCAAGGTACTACGCACATAGGCCCAGTTCAAGTCAAATTTGATGACATACCACCATGCAAATAAGTGCAAGAACAAACATCAGGCTGTGCTATTACAAATCTACAACACCACCAAACAGGGAACAACATTCAACACTCAGTTTACTCTATTCCACCATGAAAGTTTATAAGATGTGCTTAAAAGCAAATATTTAAACATACAAAACAGCTGCAGAAGTGTATGAATGATTTAACCATAAAATAAATCCTGGGATACTTTTTTTTCAGTCTAATGAAATTTGATGTGGAATTTATTAATCTGATGAAAAGTAGCTAAGTTTTCTTTTTATTCTTTGACTTCTGCTACAGTTCAATCGCTGCATTACCTCCCAGCTGATCAAGTGGTTCAGCAACTTCAGGGAGTTCTACTACATCCAGATGGAGAAGTTCGCCCGGCAGGCCATCAACGAGGGTGTGACTGCCGCAGAGGAGCTGTCGGTGGGCCGTGATGCCGAGCTCTTCAGGGCGCTCAACATGCACTACAACAAGGCCAATGACTTTGAGGTAAACTGAGCCACTGGGGGAAGGGGCCTTTTCGATGTGTGCAAAGGATGTGATGAGTTTTGAGTTTGGAGGCAGGCAACACAGAGCTCTTCAACTCATTGATGTAAAATTAACAATGGCAAGCATGCATCTGTGTGTGTGTGACTGTTAATGAGATCCGAGAGCAGATGTTGTTTGAAAGTGTTTGTTCTATTATTGAAAACCCTCTTAAAGCCATTTTTTAATTGATACATTCAAAGTGACAAAATCTCTGACTCCAGGGTTTAACTTTAACTGAAGGAGTATATACTTATAAATTATAGGAGTGAGAGTTACCAGAGGCCCTACGATACGATATTATCACGATACTTTAGTCATAATGTAAAGAAAATGAAGGCTTGATTTCCAACACAGAGGATGTGCGTCACTTACTGCGTAACCAAAAAAGGGAAAAGGATAGCGCTTTTGTTTTCCCTGAAAGCTATCGGTAGCTATCCCCAGCTGCCAAAGAATATTAATGTAGTATGTTATTTGCAGTTACTATCCTCGTTAGCAAATGGTTAAAAAAACAAAGTAACTTTGGTAGTTGCTTGGCTCTAAGTAAATGGAAAGTGATCTGGTTATCCTTGCAACAGTGGCATTCACAATAATACCACTTGGAAACAGGGGGGGGGGGGGGGGGGTAAGTTGAAAAGTTGTCTGTTTCCACTTAAAAACTGGATTCAGCACAAGTCACACACATACCCACACTAACGTCCTCTACCAAGTCAGCTGTTCAGAGCGCAACAGTCATCTCACAATTCTGCTGAGGTGTGGATGTCGCAGTATGTGTGTGTGTTAGTGTGTGTGTGTGTGTGTGTGTGTGTGTGTTCGATGAGGCGAAAGAGGACGCCGCTCGAGGCGCGGGTGTCCTTGTCAAAGCGATTTACAGAAGTCACATTCCCTCCCTCACTTTTTCTCTCCCAATATTGGTCTAAGGGGACCTGAGGGCCTTTAAACTATTCAACGTAACATCAGCAGCATTTAGATGTCCATTAGCACACACACCTCACCGCTGACACACACACTTTTTGTGCTTAAGGAGAGAAATGTTGAAGCTTAGTTGGAGCTTAAATGCAGACACGTAGACGCAGACTTTAAGGTATCTGAGTATTCTGTTTTGGAGGAATGAGCAGCAAATGCTTTGCATGCTTTGCATAACAAGAGTCAGGTAGCTTTTCACAGGTGTGTATGTAAAGAGCCTGTAAAGGAAACAGACACACACATGCAAATCATCTCAGTGCGTGTTTATTTTGTCCGTCAGTGGGGTTATATTTAGGGACTATGGGGTAAGGTTCATACTGGGGTCAGGAGTTCTAACCATGACTGTGGCTCTGCATGTTTTAGCAGTTCAGCCACATACATACTTTAAATTAGTGCCAACGTTTCTTGAATGCATACCAGAAGTTTTTTAATTGATTTCCCATCCCTCTGGCATCCATTAGTTTCAGGCCATTTCAATGCAATATGAAAATCAACTTGATGACACTTGAAACCAGAGGATGAGATAGGCAAAATATCACAGTGAACATTTAGTGCATTTTTTGATCATATTTAGAATATGATAGTCATAGTTTCAGGTTTTCATTCAGGTCTTTATGATTCCAAAACTTTGTACTGGTTTCAAATCAGGAAAACCACAGCGTTCATGAATAAAGAAAAGGAACAATAGAAAGACACTCAGTAAGGAGAGGTGACCGAAAAGACGATGGCGAAGGATTTTATGTCAAAGCAAAAAGCAAAAGGGACTGTTTGGCAAGTTTTAACTCCGATGCCAATAGGGAGCCTGATGACTTTAATGAGGGGAAAGGAGTTGGTTATATTGCTAAGAAGTTGGAGGTTCGCAGCGTGTTGCCGGCAATTCTTAATCTTACAGCCCACTGTGACTCCTTCTTGCTCCATTGTTTGCAGCAATATTTCAAACTGATCCACTGTCAACAAATGGTGAAAATGACCTCTATCTTGTTTGTCGATGCAATTTTGATGAGCAAATCTGAAGGACACATTGCATTTTCTGCGACTACCTCATAATAAAAGTTGGATGCTTTTTATGTGAAGCTGCAGCGGTAAGAAATCTTCGGTTTGCATTAGCAATAACTTATTACGGCGCCCTACAGATATTGAGTGTCATTAACAAATATTTTTTCTTGTATAAATCCAGTGTCATCTGTAACACCGTTGTTGTCACCGTTGTTATTAACGGGTGGGGAAAATTCCTCACGTGGCATCCCTAGACCTGACTCCTCGAGACCTTTACCTCCAAGTCTTTGTGTGTCTCAAAAGATGAAACTAAAATCCATATAAAGATAAAGATTTGTGAGTAAAGGGCTAATCTGCAGCCTTGTAACATAATCATAAGCGGTGGATGATGCTGATAAGAACTTCAGTATAAGAACGTGAGCCTCCTTTGTGCAATAAAGTGATGGTGTGTTTGCAAAGGTAGGTATAAATTTTCTTCCCGTACTTTGTCCCCTTTCCTGTTTGCCTCCTTCTCTCCCTTCACCTCCCTCCTTCCAACCCTCCATCCTTTCGTCCGACCGCCCTGAGGGAACATTACTGGCTAGGGACCCTCTCTCTCTCCCCTTCTCTTTTCCTTCCTCTCCCTCTCTCTCCCCCTCTGTCAAACTCAGAGGCGTGAAACTGGAACCACGGCCGATTCAGCAAGTCTCCCGACATACACACACACAGAAGTCTTCTCCTTTTGCCAAATTTAGCATCATCAGTGTTCCACCTTGGTTTGTCCCCCATCACACCCACCTCAACTCCTCCCCTCCTTCCTCCTCTTTTTGCTCTCTCCTTGCTCCCTCTCCTTCCTCCCCCCCTTCCTGCTGAATCTGTCCTCTGTCGATATGTTCTCTTCGTCATCACCTCTCCTTATCCTCTTCCTCTCTTATCCCTCTTTCATTAAGCTTTTGTCCTCTCCTCCCTCTCTGTCCCCTGCTTTCCTTTTCTCCTTTTGTCCTCTTCTTCCTTTCTTACCTTTTCTCCTTCATCCCATCTTTAAAAAGATAGATCAAATTTTCTGGGTTGTATAAGGTACTTATGCATAATCGATGTATTACCTACGGTACTTAGGTCAGCATGCCCTAAGTTTGGAGAAGCAGACTCGAATAACAAAGCAATGTACTGCTGTGGAAGGGGGTACCAGGAATACATATTTTTGCCACCTAGAAAATTGCATGTGAGCTAAATTTGTAATATTTTAACAGCTTTGCCTTGCCATCAGGCCCTCCTTTCCTTTGGCACTACATTTTCCCCACCGTAGGACTTCAGGTAAGTCCAACTGTGCCGCTGATTAAGAAAGACCCTTAAGTTGTGTTGTAACCAAGTCCTACTCGTGGCAGCAGTAGCTCTCTGGGTCAGTTGGCATGGGGTTTACAGTTTACACAGGGGTGGACACACATTTAATACCATTAAATTGGGTATTACCATTACTACCATGAGCCCTTTGGTGAGCGTGGGTCATCCGGGCAAGGTTAATGTCAAACCCTGTTACAACTGCACTACTACTGTAGGTAGCTTCTGGTCTTTCTTGTCATCCAATTTCCACAGAAGTTTCCCCCTCTTCGTCCATCAGTCTGTTCAGTCTCCCCCTGCAAAAGCTTTTCTTCTGTGTACTCTATTTTATAGAAGTATCCTCGTCACTACAGTAAACAGCATTCCATTACCATCATAATCACTCATCTTTATTTTCTTGTTTCTGTCATGAACCACCACAATAAGTGTGACCACAGCCCAGTTTTGCTTATGTGCAGGGAAACAGAAGTTCTGCAGTTGAGAAAATGTACTGTAGTGCCAAAGGAAAGGGCTATCTGACAGCAGGGGTAAAGCCGTGAAAATATTCTATACATAGCGTCCACTTAAACTGATTTTTAAGGTAGCTAAAATAGGTTTTGGTGCTGCCATCATCCACAGCAGTACATCACTTAGCTTCGGTAACGGTACTCCTAGCTGCTTCTCCAAACTTAGAGCGTGTGGACTGCCTTCTACTGTAGGTAAGACACTAACTATGGATAAGTACCTCATACAACCCCCCCTTCAAAAAATCCTAACTATCCCTTTAACTCCTCCTGACTCCTGTTCTTCTTTACTCTCCCCTCTGGTGAAACTCTTTTGTCATTTTTTCCACTCTTCATCTACAGTCTCATCATCTTCTCATCTTTATGCCCCAACAGCTTTTATTCCTTCCATAAAAATCTGCTCTTTGTCAAATTACCTGCCAAAAGACGGCCTTGCAAGGTTAAATAATTTGCATTTTTTATTTTTTCTCTGGTTAAAAAAAGAACTTAATCTTTGTCAACACTGTCTACACGGTGAAATAAGAAAGTGTTCTTTGGTTTGATGGGTTGAAAAAAAGCTTGTGTCATTAGTCAACGTACACGGCCAGCATTTTAAATAGTCATTGTAGATTATTGCTGTGGAAAGGTGAGTGTAATTTGTTGAGAGTTTGTGTGTGTGTGTGCGTGTGTGTTGTCTTCCAAAGTTGGCGTAAACAGGCCCCAGTAATTATAGCAGCTTCATTAATTACCTCCTCCTCCCCTCTCCAGCCACATTCTTTCAACTCTTCTTTTTTTTGTTTACCTCTCCCTCTCTCCATCCTTACTGTCTCCTTTCTACTCCTTTCCCTCCTCTCCCTCGTCTCTGAAACAATTTCGTCCTAATTGCAGCTCTGCCCACAAACTAATGAGGAAGGCAAAGAAAGGAAGGAGGCTGGAGAATGGGAAAGGAAATGGGGAATAGTCTCATCTTCAAAAAAACAGGGAAAACAAAAAGAGACAGAGAGAGATTTTCTTTGCCAGGACACTCGGGGAAAGGTGTCAGCTTCTACCTTCTGCCAAGAGGAAGAGAAACGTTTCCTCTTTTTCTTTTCCTTTTTTTTTATATTGAGAACAGATTGACGAGTCTGCCAGCAGCATTGGGCATGGCACTCTTAACTTGTGTGTGTGTTAAAGTTTTTGGTGCGATATTTGAAGTACACCTAC